CCTTTGCTAAGGTGTCTCTGGATGAACTTGAACTACCAGTCTTTTAGTTAGTACCTGAGTGCTTTAATCATTTGCCCCCATCAGGGAATGAAAAGTTAGCTACTTCAGTCAAACTGCAAACTCCGACTCCCCTTCGAAAGAGACTGCGTATCGGACCAGACTACATTGGTGGTTTTGAGTTTTCCTAGACAAGTTGTTGTCATATTATTGTTGAATGTGCTATTGAACCTGAACAGCTCAGAGCTGACCCTACAGTAAATGTTTAGTTGTATTAAGTCACACAGGAGGAAATTGCCCATTTTCCTTAGATTCTGACTGTGTGCCTTTGGGTTGGTAACACAACTCCTTACCATTAAACCAGATTTTATCAAATCAGTGTTAGTTCATAGCAATACTGTAGGACAGAGTTGTTATTTACTGTTGAAAAGGAACCAATCAATAACTGACCTTCCAGTGGGTTTTCAGAGACAGTAAATCACACGAGAGGAAAGTGCTCAACTCTCTCCCATGGAAAACCTGGTGAATTTGAATTGTGTGCCTTTGGATTGGCAATACAGGCCCTTACCACTAGGCCACCAGAGTAGAACCATGCAGTAGAGGTTCCACCGCTGTAATCTTTATATTAGTATTCTCTCGCTCTCTCTCTGTCTCTCTGTCTCTCTCTTGTCTCTCTCTCTCTCTCTCTCACACACACACACAACACACACAGAGACACAAAGTGACACACGGTTGAATGAGAATTCAGTGATAGCTGACCCTCCAGTGGGTTTTCAGGACTGTAAATTATAGTCCATCCTTTTTCTTTGAAGCTACTAATGAATTTCAACTTCCAGAGAGCTATGGTCTCTAGGGTTAGGAGCCCAAGTCCCTACTGACTCCACCACCAGACCTCCCTATGATAGTCCATAGATTTTTTTTCTTGAGGAGCAGCTAGCTTTTTGTAATGTAGCTGATTGCTTAACTTTTGTGCCACCAGGATTCTTTCCCTAGATCAGAGACTTGGTAATTTTTCATCTGACAGTTATCAGAAATGGTAATGCATTGTCACTATGATGATAAGTGTCTGTTATGGTATTCAAGGCCCTGTAATTGAAATGGCACAAATTGATAATAATATATCTGTTATTGGTACTCATGAGAGGGTAGTATTTAAAATATTAAAAAATATTCGGAAGACAAATGTTTATCAGGAAGAAATAGGCAGTCCTGGTAATTGGATTTGCTCAAGTTTGTAAATATTTCCCCACTTATTAATGTTTTGAAATAGGTGACATTAAATTCAAAGACTAATTCTAGCCATACTAGTGAATAGGAATGCATCCTGATCCAGATTTACTGTAACTTAGATGCTTTCTGATTTTTTTCAGTCTTTCAACTTCCTTCTTTCTCTTCTGTATCTTAAATTGTTTTGGTTGTGCTATTTTTCCATTAAATGAAAGAGAGACAGATTATGTATGACACTAAGGGAGACACAAAATACAAATGGCAAGGGAGACATTTCAAAACAATTTAGCTCAAAATGGTTTACGGTTTCATAAAATAAAATTTAAATTAATTTTTATAGGAATATATGTCTGACCTTGACACAGAGTTAAAAGTGTGTAACACATTCAGATATGTGCAATATTTTTAGAAATTAATTTTTTTCATGAAGAATTCTATTTTAAAATATTTGTAGTGATTTATGTACTTGATATAATTGCAAAGCTCTTTAGTATAGGAAGCATATTAACTAATTACCTGAAGCTTTTGCTGCTTTATAGATTTCATTTTTCTATTTAAAAAGTATTACTAGTTGTAGTGAGTGGTAGCTAGCTTATTAAAAAACACTATTTCCTTCATTTTGATTATTTGCCTGATTTAAAAACAGTATCTTTAAATCTTGGATATTGTTATTCTATAAAATAATATAGGACACAGAGTTATATTTAAGTACAAAAGTATATATATGAATTTGGATGTTGGATAACTTAGTAGATGAATTTATTGCTAATATCATACCCTAAGCCATTAATGAGAAAAAGCCTTTAAGATTTAAAAATGAGTAAATGCTTTGTACCTAGAACTGATGGAAGTAATTGGTAAACTGCTTAATCAAGTTCCACTTGGAAGTGAATGGAAACGGCAGGCTAGAAAATGTAGGCTGGGTAAGTAACCCAACAAGTCAGTGGAGTTCTCTTTAGAGAAAGAAACAAAGATAGCAATAATTAATGACCCTGACTCTGTGCCAAAAAAGCTTTCTTCTGACAACTCCAACTTAATTAAAACTTAAGACGTTTCAATGGCCTCCGAAAGCCCCTGATGGGGTGAACTCTTGCAAACTCGTGAGAAAATTTTGTAAATTAAAGGAAAAGATGTGTGTTACCACTGGTACCATGACTCTAATCCCTGACAGTCAAAGAATCTATTTAGCCCAAGCCTTTTCTTTTAACTGGCTCACACCTGCAGGCTTTCTGGCACTTCCTCTGTACCAGAGAAGGCAGTTTTTGTGTTTTACGGA